TAACCACTCGGCTACACTGCCACGAGTACCCTTGAGTCACAGGGCATAAGTGAGTTTCAAGGACGGTCATCACCTTAGACGAAATAGGGTGAATACATCTCATTATTTATTTTTAGTTTGACTGCCATTTCCATATCTCCGTATTATATTTTGATTTCTATATTATGTTATTTATTTTCTCAGAAATTTATATCAATCACAGAATGTTAACATGATTTGGAGAAACTATTGGAAAATAATTAGGTTTTCCATTTCAACCCACATTCTTTCATTTGTATAGGTTTGCGCAGATAATTTCAATTTTTTATGACTAAAGATCCAAATTATTATTTATATGAGTGACATAGGCAAACTTTAATCTTGCTCTCTCGGATGCATTCTTTGATTTTATTGACGGTACTCGTAACTAACATTAAACAGGGATCCTTGTCACGGTAATCTAGCAAACAAATTTTATGTACCTGACTTTTGAAATACAATATTTTATTTAGTATTGTCTTGATTCAAATATGTTTTATTTAAAAAAAATTCATCTAGTTGTATGCTAATGACTAATTTAATTGTTCCTATTTATCTTTTGGAAAGCCAAATTCACTTTATTTTGTCGTCCGTTTTGGACACTAATGGCATTAATCTTTTTATTATATGCTTTTTCCAGGCTGCTATAAATACGATTTCTTGGATATTCTTTTGACAGCTTGTTTTTTTGCGCGACTTTCGACTTGCCTACTAAAGGAGATTTTTCGGATCTGTAACGGTTCTTCCTAAGGTCTATATCCTTTATTTGCATTCAGTTTTCGTTCATGAGTTGGCTCTAATTCTCGGCTCGAAAATAGGTATAAATACCCTAAAATCCTTGATTGGCGTACTTACAATAATTGCATTAGATCGAATTTTTGTTTACTAAATTACCGCCAGTAGCCTAAATGATAACATCGTTTAACTTTATAAGTCTAAATTTATATTTAAAACCAGGCCATTTTATGAATTATATTTTTTGTAAGACTATAGATTACTCCTATCGTCTTGTCTGTATGCTCTGTTCAATCATAACTGCTTTATTTCGTCCAGTTATTAAATAAATAATTTATTTTCGACATTAGTCACTCTCTCTTCCTTTCAAAGATGCTACCTTTTTTACACCATAAGCCATATTTTTCTAGCGAACACCATTGTTGATATATTTAATTTGCCTCCATCTAAACGTTTTACTCTAGCTGTTTCAAAAGACCAACATCTCTTTCTGACCGAGATATGGTCACTTCATTTTCTCCTCATAGCGATCTTTTTATTCACATCGAATACGTATCTATCTTATTTATTCGTTTCTTCGACTTTTCCAAGATTCGCTAACAAACCTGAATTTTGTTCCGAAAGCCTACCATATTTTGAGTTTTAATTTTTACTCCTAGATGGCTCTGCCCTTAACATTTTTTGTGATTAACCTCCTTACTCAAAATTGGACACTATTTTATGTTGTAGACAGAGATTATGATTTAGAATGCTATTTCAGATAATTTCTAATTTGATTAACAATGACGCTTAAGCATATCACGGTTATCGATGCCTATTCCTAAAGTTTTTTTGATTTCTTTCTGGTTAAACAGTCTTTCGAGCACAGATAGAAAACGTTTTAAAGTGGATGATTAGACGAATGCTTTCATGATGTATATACTTATGTAACACGACGAATACTGGGTATCATTACGTTTAAGTAATCATTGTAGTGCACGAGTGCATGAATTATTTTTATCACCTCTTAAGACCTAAATATTCCATGTTTTTATTACTTCAATCCTTTTATTTCATTTCCTTTTTGTTCCATCCTTTTGTTGCTTACTTCATGGCACTTCATTAATACCATTATGATTGATACTATTTATTTTGATAATTTTTATTGAATAAAGGCAGTAAATATGGTTTAAACTCTTGAGTGCGATGTAAGTAAATATAACGTTTTCTAACCAATATATTTCGAGGCTATTTGGCGAAAGCAAGATTCTTGCTCAAACGTTAATTCTTGTTTAGCCTTTGACTTCTATGTGGATCTTCTTTTCGGCTGACAAGTCATTTATGAGAGCAACGACACTGGTGCTGATGCTGTTGCCACCAAAATCTGTTGTTACTTAACAATTATCAACTGTTTAATTTCCTTTGTATTCACCTCACCTCATCTCTCGAAATTAATGCTCTTCCTTTTGCCTTTTTGGTTTGGATGCTTGGCATGGGATTATCTGAGTTTTGTCTCACGTAAGCAATTTATACTACCACCACCACACATGTTCTCTTCTTACTCTACTTAAAAGACTCATTCTCCAATATCTCGTCTTCAAAAGAAATTTTGTCCACAAAATGAAAGATTAAGTACTTTTCAAGGTATAAGCATCATTTGCTAGTCTTTATGGAGTAGGATTGACGAAAATAAAAGGCAATGAGACGGGAGTTGGCTGTCATTTGATTTACTGGACAACTTTTTGCATTTTCTCTACCCTAAGTTACTTCCTTTTTGGCGCCCTTAACAGGGACCATTTCTGCTTGATTTCACATCTACGTTAGTCGGAATTACAAGCATACACACACGTTTAAGCATGTGGGTTACATTTTTTAATCTTATTTAAGACCAAATTTTCCTAAAATATGAACTACTTTGCCTCAGCTGACTTGGAAATTTGGCGAAAAAACTCCTAATGAAGTGAAGTGACATCCTATAGATGTTACACTTCGTTGCACGTGCCTACGCATTTATCTCTGGCTTAATACGCAAGTCTTGTGGCAGTTTAAAATATATAACGAAAAGAACATATAAGAACATGAAGCAATTACTATGTCCTCTTACCTTTTTTCCTCTCATTCTGGTGTGCATCCGTCCAACTTGTTAATCTTTTCTCATTCTAATTTGTCACCCTGTCTCCCTGTTGCATCAGACGCCGTCTTTCCAGACCTCTCCAGTCCTTTCTTCCCTCTCACAACTCCTATCGAAATAAGTGTACCATCGAGCAAAAGGGCATATATTCGACCCACACTTTTTATCCGTGTTGTGAAAGCCGATCTAATTGACTCTAATCCTCTCCGCCATTCACTTAGCTCAGAGGCGCCTTAACCAGACACCCACAACTCCCCAACGCACTTCTTTAGTCCCCGACCTCACATAATAAATGGACTCATACTCGCGGCCCTGGCAAACAAACGGCCGCGCCGACGTGTTAATATCTTTGCTAGCCTCATCGGCGTGAATCTTGGCTCTGTTTCTCTCTCTGTCCGAGGTTCGGCCTCTCCTAATTAATCCCATCCCACATTTTTATAGTCCTTCGAGGCCTTATCTCGCTTTCATTCCATTCACTTATAAGTCTATAGATCAACGCATACCCACATATAAGTATGTATATACATTCGTATTTATATGAATGAGTATTTCCTTAAAATCTTGTCCCTTCTCAACTCACAAAGTCCACACACAGTTCTATCACGTGCTTCTTTTTCATATACTTCTGGTTAAAACTGTCCCTGGGAAGCAGTACTGATATCTAGAAGGCTTCTAATTATGCAAAGTCCTCTTCTCGCATTTTTTTCATTCCTTGGCATCGTTCTTCTTAATTTATCTTTCTGTGTTTCTTTTTGGATAATTTCTAACCGTTTCTTGAGTACCGAGACTTCATACGTCTCTTATATAATCGTCTATTTTTAAGCTGCAGCCATTCTTAACATGCCTGCCTAATTGTATGTTAAGCCACAAGCTCAACCATAGATTATGTTAAAGTATTGCAATTTTTTATACATCATTATTATTTACTTCTCACATTTATTATCTTTCGTCCCCTTTATTGTTGAGTCGACTTTATTTGGGTTTGGAATCTGATTTAACTTGGATATTTTTGTTATTTATTTCTTATGAGTATAGTTTTGAGACTATCAGCAACGCCTGTTCATTTGGTTATGCCCTTTTTATTACCAATCTTTAATGGGATCAATCCAATAATAATTTCGATCTTAACTTTTTAGCCTCATTTTCCATTGTATATTACCACTATCATAATTTAAATTGACTTTTCGATTTTTGAAATACGTGCTGACTATTTTTTTGCTTAAATTCAATTTGATTTCGAAAATCCTATTAAATGTTTTATTTACGTACTTTGCGAAAGTCTCTGAATGCTAACATTATTAATGGCATGTACTTAATTGTATTTCTCATATATATTCTCCTTTGATAATTAAATATATTCAGCAACTGAAAGGCTATCTGGCGGAGGCCGAGGGCTACTCATCTGATCCTGGAGAGGAGCTTGAGCCAACTGACGTGTTTCAACTTTCGGTAGGACGTCGCACATCCACTGACTCCTCTGATACAGGTTGTTGCTTAACACCACCGCCTCCCTCGTTGCCGATATCATATTCATCCTCGTCTAACCAAATGCACCTAACTGATCACTCTCGGCAATCTTCAATGGAGCAAAATCAACGCAAAAATCAGCAACACCAGCTCCTACACCTGACTCACTGTCATCGGTCAAAAGACATGGTATATAGGACCCATCAGGGATCTACTGCTTCTCCAGATGCCTGCGGAAACTCTGGAAAAGGCATGCAACTTGGAAACGATACATCTTTTCTTGTCAGGCCCGAGGTGACAGCTGCCTCTGGTCTGTTGAGTTCTACTGATTCTGGTAGTCTGAATAACAGGCGTTTTTTCCAACAATCGGGGTTTACTGATTCGGCTGTCGCTCACCCTATCGGTTAGTTTATTCCACAGTTGGGATCGCACAACTTTCACACACTTTTATCGTCAAATGAAAGCATGCTTTTTGTTTGTGAATCAATTAGAGCCTAATTGTGCTCCTAGGTCAAGCCTGTTTCGCTTAATCGAAATTGAACACCAGCTTTACTAGTCTTGCTAGTGGACAACTGTACTTTGGCTAGGATTAGTACGAACATTGATCATTATTGGTATCGGTTTTAGGATAACATACATGCGATTATAGGTGGCTTGTAGCAGCACCAGCTTCATTTACGTAGACACCTAGATAACGAGTATAAATCAAACGGTAATAACTTCTCTAATCAAATGCCCTATTGGTTTGAGTTAATTAATTGGTTTGAGAACGGAATTTACGAACGAGGCATATTCTATAACCTTTTAGAAGTGCATATTTTTCCATTTATTAAGGTAGTAAAACAAGTAATACTGGTGGATTTACACGTGAAAGTGAAATACAAATAGTCAGCTTTCTTATTGGTCACTTAGGCACTGAAATACAATATTATTGATAAAAAAGTCATTTTTATGCTACCGATGAGAAAGTATATTTTAACATAGAAATTATTTGACCTTGTTTTCGCAATTAGGTCATATTGGTAGGAAGACTTAGAGAAACGCACCTAGT